ATGCAGGAAACTTCTGCAAAAGAAGGGAACTGAAATAAAAACCGGGAACCTCATTTCACACTCATAAATCCGCATTTCTGCACAATTTGATGCTTGTAACAAGCTGTCGGAGGAAATCAAAGAGCTGGATATTGCATCTGATATCATTACTTTCATAACCCTTCTATAATTGAATATCATGTACAGATTTTCTAACTATTGGCTTATCATTCAGGCACCATTAGACAAATAGAAAAAGTTTAATGAACATCAACGCGGACCAAAGAGGTTAAGGCTCTACACTTCTCTATCATCAGGTACCATTAGAGTGAGCTCCGGAAGATCGACCGCAAGCCTCTGCCAATTCCTTTAGAAACATGACAACATCATCGGATGAGTTAAGGAGATACCTTGCATTTGAGCGCTTCCTACCAACAGCACAAGAGAAGTAGTTGTCGCCTTTGAGATCAAGAACTGAGGATCCCTCATGCCAGGATATGATCTCTTGTGGGGTCCGCCACCCGCTTGAGTGGTTATGGTGATTGTTTACCAATGACGATGATGTTCTCTTGTCCGAGGATCCAAATGGAGTAGATTTGTGAGTTTTGTTGTGGAATGATTTTGAACTGTTCTTGTTGTTGCTTGTAGGTTTTCCCATGTACTTCTTGTCTGCAGATGCTTTGACCGCATCAGCTATCTTTGATCTCATGGAAGTTACAGGTTCTGATGGGAGCTCTGGCTCAAAGAATGTGTATATGTCCTCATCCTGAAACACAGAGTATGAGTCAAATTCTATGAAGTTGATGACCTTTGATTTTGTTACTTGATAAAAATTAGCAACAAAAGAACCATATGAATGATATCAGTTTCTATTCATTTTTTTGGGAAACTGAAATACAAAGATTGGTGCAGTATCACTACATGAATCCATGCGACTAAGTTTTTTTTTTTTAAATTTAACTTTTGCCGTCCTGTGGTTATAGTTATGCAGTTGGAAACTTTAGATATTCATGTGATGTGGAAAAACAAAGGCTTTCCAACTACTTGGTGGCTAAAAAAACGCTTCCCCCCTGAAGAACTTTCTTAAGGATTCAGAGAATATATACTTTATTGCTACTGTTATATAATATATTACAATTATCTAAAGATAAATAAGACCTTTTCTCTTTGACATTAATAATTTATTTATTGATTTTTGTCATTTGTTTTCTTTCTTATATACAACAACAACAACAACAACAACAAGCCTTTTTATCCCAAAATTTTTGGGTTCGCTAAATGAATCCTATTCCTCCATTTAGTTCTTATTTGTGTCATCTCCTCCATCAAGTTAACTATAAAAGGTGTGTTTGCTGCACTCAATATTTTTTGGTAAACATTGAAAAACAACAGATAACACGGCATAATAACTAGAATTTGGATTTGTAGAGATAAACAGTAGGAGCCGTTTGACAAAGTAAGAAATTAGCTGGACAAACACTATCCAATGAGATTCTGTTTTTTTTTTCTTAAAACAAAAATAAATTTTTGCAGTGTTTGCCTGAGTTCTTCTAATGATCATATCCATGACTTTTCCTATATGAATAAATGTATAATGCCACATTATGCTTAAAGAGCACTTAAACTGTTTGTAAACATCACCTAGATCTAGTAGCTATGTAGCACGGACACGGATCCGACACAGCCATCCGACACGCCAACACGAGGCAAATCCTAAAAAATACATAGGATACGTGTGTTCGACACGTGTGTCGCCATCCGACACGCCAACACGAGGCAAATCCTAAAAAATACATAGGATACGTGTGTTCGACACGTGTGTCCGACACGGACACGACACGACACGGCTTCATGTTATGCGTGTCCGTGCTTCATAGTCTAGTAGTATAGAAAACACCCCAGCTTATATTAAGAAATCTTCAAACAATCTACGAACTCTTACCTTTCCAAGGAAGTGCCCGACACATAAAACATAGTCTATTGGAGTAACCATGCTTTTACTGTGAACTATTTCACCCAATATTCGATCAATTGCAGCACCCTGCAAAATTAAGAGAAAAACATTAGGACTCTTCAGAACTGATATGGAGAGATGTGGCAAGGTTGGTAATTGACACCAGTCAATATAGGAGCTTTATGCATGTATAATTTGAAGCAAGACCGGTCAAGCCAAGGCCTGCTCAAAGTATGTCCAGAGCTTTTCTCAAACATTTTCAAACGAGGTCAAAGATAGTATCGATTGTAGATTTTCTACCAAGCTCAGATTGTTAAACTAAATACAAGTAAATGAGTTGCTCAATTTGACACTTTTCTTAAAATTTATAATGGAACAATAATCTACATTCTGAAGCCTAATCCAGCTAATTAGATCGTAAAAGTTTTAAGTTCGGATCATGTAGTCCAATAGTAGGTCCTCAAGTGCTGTACTAACTCAGGACGTGTGCCATGGAACAGATATGAATAAGCTGGTAAGGAAAATCTTGAAACATATCTAGGTTACAAATACATCATAGACAAGGTCATCATGGCATATATACGTACACTACCAAGATATTGAGCATAAAAAGTCTGTGAGTAAACACCAAAAATGAAGCATGACAGTAATTGTTCTTTATCGAAGTTAATAGATATAGATTTTCAGAAGAGTGACTGAAAAACTAGATAATTATATTAACATGCAGACATTTCATAGACTTGAATGGCCATATAACATATACTTGTTTTCAGTTCTTTTTCTTATGATGAAAAACTTAAAAGGTCCCATGTATTATGATTAAAAATAATTCCAATTATTGTTTCCATAGATTTCATAAACACTATATTTAGCATGAAAATTGAAAGAAAAAAAAAATTACCCCATATATGGAATATGTAACAAATATTTAACAGGTGTCAAATTCCTTCAGAGAAGTGTAGCTTCCTTTTGTCAAGTTCACATACCCAATTATCAAGATAACTTTTATTAGGGATAACTAGCTTATTCTGTTTAAACTGAATCAACAGAGTAATCATTCAGTTCATTTCTTACCCTGTAAGTTGGCACTTACTAGCACATATGTTTCTACAATAGGTTTACGTCAGAATAAGCCTTATATATACCCCCGCAACATTATGGGAAAATATATGATCAGAATATTGCAATAAAATGATATCACTTCTTAAGAAGGAATAAATTGCACACCTTTGTCACTCCAACAGATCGGACCTCAACTGATCGACTTCCCTGGACAACATCAACTGCTGCATTAGAAATTGGGCCTGTCCATAGATGCTGCAGCATATCTCTTGCTTGAAGCCTTCCAAATTCAACATCTGCAAAATTAGGTAGATTCTCAGAAACGGGAATAAGATAATCAGCATGTCACATACACGTTATAGAAAGATTGTCATAAATTGATTGACTTTCCTCCCTAATTGTATCAAAGAGTTAAAGAATTTAAGAATTACCTGCATATTTGTAATTCCACACTAGTGATGTCTCACGATGTTCAAAATGAGACCTAGGCGTTCTTTCCGTGAAATACTCGAAAACATGCTGGAAATTTCAGTTAACATCACATGTGTAGAACACCATTAGCGTAGCTAAACAAAAGATGTGAAATTAGAAACTGAAAAACATAATCACCTTAACACTGTCAACCCAATCCATGTTCAGATGCTCCGGCATTGTTGTCATCCATTCCCCATCAGTTAGACGCAGAAACATACCATTCTCTGCTGCCAACCACATATTGAATTCCCCAAAATTCTGTAAAAAGATAATAATCAAGAAATAAACAAAAAAAATTCAAAAAACATAAAGATTATGGGGACAAATTTATACATCATCTAGGACACTTCTGTCACTTCCACTTAGTACAATAACAGTTGTCTTTATATCCTGGCAAAGCGTTGTCAGAGGACCTTTTAGGTCATGGTGTAGTTTAAGCTCCATTTCTTTAATTTGATCTCCGCCTCTTCTTCCAGAAGACTCAACAGATTCAGTCAGTGTTGCATTGAAACCCTGAAATTTGATGACATATACAAATAAGACGATATGCAACACGAGGTGAATGTATAGCGACTCACTATTCATGTCCCAATGGCAAACCCTTGAAAAGTTATGCTCGATTTCTGCAATAACTTCTTTGGAACTACAATAGGAAAGTCAGAATACAACCAGTATGCTGACAAGGGGCTTAGAATTACAAATTCCTAAAATATCTCATGCAAAGTAATATGTAATCTATTTAATACAAACATGCGAAGTCCCCGTATTAAAAAGGGTAAATTACACCAAACCCCCCATGAACTTTCAGTTTTGGAGTAAACCCCATGAACTTTCAAAATCGCACTAAACCCCCAATAACTTCTGCAGAAACACCCCCAACATATTTTCGGTAAATTACACTAAATGCCCAACAACTTTCAAAATGCCTTTTTTTATGTTGATATTTAGTTATAATTATGAGGGTTATGTACAAAACTCAGAAAGTTATTGGGGGTTTTCTGTAATTTAAAAAAGTTATTGGGAGTTTAGTATGATTTTGAAAGTCCATAGGGGTTTACTGTAAAACACTGAAAGTTCATGGGGTTTAGTGTAATATTGCCATTAAAAAAAGTAAAAACCAAATCCAAATTGCCTTCTGCAAATGGAACAGAGAAAAGTTCACCTTGTTCTTTAGTGCTCAAAACAATGAATCATAATTTCCCAATGAATTAAAAAAACGGTAACATATAACCCTAAACAACCTAAGTTTAGTATTAAAAAAATTTATAATGCATGCCTCAGAATCTTAATGCCAACTATAATCAAGTTATAACACTGGTTATTCATTCAATAGAGTATAATGCTAATGCATGTAATATCGAAGTTGCCAACAAATGCCATCTTAAGTATTTAATATTTCATTCACGAGAACCATAAAGTTCCTTTTTATTTTGCATGAAATTCAATGTCATAAAGTTACAGGTGACTGCACATCTTATAAGTGACGGTTACTGCTTATTAGAGTAATTTACAAATGTTAGCATAAAGGGTAAATTAAGTGCTTTACCGAATTAAACATCACAATTTTACCTAAATGTATAGACAATATATTTCTCCAACTACTCGACAGAAAGAAATGATAATTATGTTACCTACAAATCTCACATTATGTCTCCAAACTACAACACAGGGAGAAAAAAACAAAGGAAAAAAAACTCTAACATTGACTATGTGGTTTGTATCTGAAATTGAAAATACTATTTAAGGTGGATATACCAATATGAGCAATCGATTCTTGGCCTGCAAATAGTGTTCGATTGCAATCCCAGTCGGAAGTAAAGGTGGAACTTGTCTTGTTCTAAGCTGTGCTTCGACAACAGTATCATTAAGTTCACTGCAGCATAAAGGCAAAGGTAAGAGTATGCAGAGACAAATTAATTTAGACATAAAGGTCAATCTTTTGAAGAGATTTTGCACTCAAAGAGATAAGTCTAGGAAAGTTTGAATATGTAGGAAGGAGATGCCTTCGACACAGAAAACTAATTACAAGAAAATTCTAGTCTAATCAAATACAAGCATCCATATAAGGTACTTCTTGGTGTATTTGACATATATTTTAAAAGAATATAAATATCTTCTTAATATTTTTTAGCTAGGTGATAAGTGAGAATGTTAATTTTACATATAATTCTATGAAAAAATAAAAGAAAAAAAGCAAACTTTTAAAGTATTACCTAACTAACAATATCTATAAAGTAGTAAATTTCTCGTGATTATCTAGTAGTTTCTCTATATGGGGTTTCAGTATGGCCTAGATTACATCCTTTTGGTCTCTCTCTGACTAACAATCTTCAACAACATTGATAGTGTTAGGAATCTTTTGGTCTAAGACTTCTCATCTTTTCACCTATGGTTGTTACTTTAACTAAGAGAGGTTAAAAGTAAAAGATGTGCAAATTTAAGTTACTTGTTTGTTTCTCTTAACTCCGCCAGTGCTGTGTTATTGTCAGCACTGCCTGTTCCAAGCTAGGATAAAGGAGGAAGGTTGCGTTAGGTAGCCGACAGCCAGCGTAAAACATAGTTCGGATCCACATAAAAAATAAATCCTATAATATACTCGTTCGGGCGTCCTCACCGCGGCGCGTTGCATTGATGCCACCCTGATGCAATGATAAGTATACAAGGGCAGTTTGCTAGGGCATCCTCTGGAAGTGACGCATTACATCGACATCACCCTAGTGTAATGACAAGTAAGCAAGGTATTCTAAGAATCTACAATCCTCTAATAGATTACCAAATAGTATTAGGCATAGACTAGAACGGTCTAAGAGGGAAAATAGTAGGAGACTTTTACAGAAAAATAAAAATAGATTAGCTACTTGGAATATAGGTACACTTATCGAAAAAACTATGGAATTAGTAGATGTCATGCTTGGAAGAAAAATAAATATAAGTTGTTTACAAGAAACTACATGGATAGGTGAAAATTTTAGAGAAATTAAAAAGACCGAATATGAACTTTGATACACGGGAAAAGAGAAGAATAAGAATGGAGTGGGAGTTCTTGTAGATAATATAATAAAAGAAGTATTGTAGAGGTAAAAAGAGTTGGAGATAGAATAATACTAATAAAAGTTGTTTAGATGTAGAGATTATTAATATTATCAGTACTTACGCACCACAAACAGGCTTGCTCGAGAGTACTAAAAGAAAATTTTGGGATAGATTAGATGAATTAGTACAAGGAATCAAATTTGAAGAGAAATAATTTATGGGAGAGGAACTTAATGGGCATGTTGGTAAGAATAATAACGGATATGAGAGGATACATGGTGGTTTCAGGTATAGAGATAAGAACAATATGGGTAAATCAATTTTAGAGTTTGCAATCGTATAATTTGATAATAGCAAATACACTTCTTAAAAAAAAGGATGAATACTCAATAACATTTAAAAATGATTGTAATAATAGTCAAATAGACTTTTTCTTACTAGAAGGGCGGATATGTTAATATGCAAAGATGGTAAAGTTATACCAGGAGAGAGTTTAAATACACAACATAGATTAATGGTCTTAGACATATCTATTAAGAATAAGAGTAAAAAAAACTAACATGAACAAGAGACTAAGAACTAAATGGTGGAATTTAAAAGGAGAGAATTTAATACATTTTAAAGATAAGATAATAAAAAAAGATATATAAAATATAGATAATAAGACTAATATTATGTGGAATATCATGTCTTCTTATATTAGAAAAGTGGCTAAAGATATACTAGGATAATCTAAATGTTGTAGATTATGCGGTAATAAGAGTTGGTGGTGGAATGAGAGAGTGAGCAAAAAGTTAGTAGCGAGAAGAAAATTTTATATAATGCAGGGCAAAAGTGTAGGAGTAGGAAAAAGTTAAAAAATATAAACTATTAAGGAATGAAGCAAAAAGAGTGGTTACTGAGAATAAATACAAGGCTTATAAAATTTTTTATAAGAAGTTAGAATTTAAGGAGAGAGAAAGATATATATTAGCTTGTTAAGATTAGAGAAAGAAAGAGTAGAGATTTGGGTAATATTAGGTGTATTAAAAGTGATGATCAAAGAGTTCTAATGACCAACGGGGAAATAAGAGAGAGGTGGAGGAGTTACTTTTATCAATTGTTTAATGATAACCAAACAAGTGAGCTAAATAGATATTTTGACCATAGAGTGAGTATTGTCGAAAAATTAGGATTGGTGAGGTTAAAGATGCTATAAAGAAAATAAAAAGTAAAAGAGCCGTAGGACCGGACGATATCCCTATTAAAGTTTGAAAATGTCTTGAAGATATAGGATTATGATGGTTAACTAAACTATTTAATAAGATTGTCGAGATGAAAAGAATGTCGGATGAGTGGAGGATTAGTACTTTGACACCGATATACAAGAATAAAAGAATACCAAATTGTTCAAATTATCGAGGTATAAGACTCATGAGTCATACTATGAAACTTTGGAGAGGATAAAACAAGTATATCTAAAAATCAATCTGATTTTATGCCTGGGAGGTCAACTATGAAACCTATACATATTATGAGACGGTTGATGGAGACATATAGAGAGAAGAGAAAGGATCTACATATGGTTTTTATCGATCTAGAAAAAGCTTATGATAGAGTGCCTAAAGAGGTAATGTGGTGGGTGTTAAAAAAGAAACATGTACCTAGTATATATATATATATGATTAAAGATATATATAATAGAGTAACAACTAGAGTAAGAACTAATGAAGGAGAAACTAAATCATTTCCTATTACCATAGGTTTATACCAAGGGTCAGCTTTAAGTCCTTATCTTTTTGCATTAATTATGAACCAACTCACTAAGCACATTCAGGGTGAAATCTTATGGTGTATGTTATTTACCAATGATATATTGTTAGTTGATTGAAACTAGAAGAGACATTATTTCTAAACTAGAAAGATGGAGGCAAGCTCTTGAATCTAAATATTTTAGAATTAGTAGAATAAAATAGAATATATAGAGTGCATTTTTAGTAAAACTAGGAAAGGAAGAGAACCTATGGTACATATTAATAGTCAAGAAATACCTAAAACTAATCATTTTCGTTATTTAGGATCAATCATTAGGCATGATGGTGAGATAGAGGATGATGTTGTGCATCGAATCAAATTGGGATGGTTAAAATTGAGGAGTGCTTCGGGAGTCCTATGTGATCGTAGAACACCAATGAAACTAAAGAGAAAATTCTATTGGACGATTATAAGATCAACTATGCTTTATGGGTCAGAGTGCTGGGCAATTAAAAAACATGTTCAAAAAATGAGTGTAGCAGAAATGAGATTGTTGTGATGGTCCTATGGATATACATTAAAAGATAGGATAAGAAATGAGTGTATCCGTAGTAAATTAGAGGTTGCTCCTATTGAGAATAAAATAAGAGCGAATAGATTAAGATGGTTTTGTCATGTATAACAGAGAGCCCTTAGTGCACCGATTAGGAAAAGCGATAATATTAGAGTTAATGGGTTAGGTGATCTAAAGGTAGACCTAGAATGACTTGGTTAGAAGCAATTAAAAAGGATATGATTAGGACTAACTTAACAAAGGAGATGGCCCATAACAGAATGAAATGGAAAAATAGGATTCATGTAGCCGACTCTAAACATTTGGTATAAAGGCTTGGTGGTTGTTATTGTTTGTTTCTCTTGAGTCTTCACGCAGTCAAGCAACCACACCTTCATGTCAGGTTAAGCAATTAAAGTGATATTATTTTAAATTTCATTCATGTTGATGTTGAAAGTATGTAACTAGATTTCCAAATCACATTACAAAAGCCATGGTAATGTTGGCATAAGCATTCGCAATTGGGAGCTGGTTAACTAGCAATGCCAGCAGAAGATGGCATTTCTAAGTGCTAGATTATGCTAAATTGCAATAAGATCTAGAAAATTCATTTTTGGGGCTAGATCGTGTGCAAAATCTCGCCCACAACTGTGCATCAAGCAAATATTGTTATTTAAACATTAATTATGAAATTTGTCTGGTCAAGTAGTACTCAAGAAAAATCAGCAAGAGAACTGACCAAGTTCTTATTACCTCATATCAACTACCATCAACCTACTACTAGAATGGTCAAGTAGTATTCAAGAAAAATCAACAAGAGAACTAAGTTCTTATTACCTCATATCAACTACAATCAACCATCAACCTACTACTAGAATGGTTAGATCAGGGTGGTTTCAAGGATGGAATGTTCTGGTTTAGACTGGCATCTGAATACATAAGGTTCAGCTTCATTTTTTTAGGTTTGTTATTGGATCGAATTGGATACTGAAGTTTCAACTAAATTAAAAAGCGAGGAAAATTCCCTGAAAATGAAAAGAGGTTCATCTCCAAGTAAAGTAAGAGAGCCATATACTTCTCGTTACTGCCAGGAAAAGTTCAAGAGCACATCTTATATATTGAAAAAAGCAAATTTCTTAACTTCTTCATATGTTGACACTAATATAACGAATATTTATCTTTCCACTTCTGCAGTCAACCCGTGAGAGATGGATCGGTTGATAAAATAAGTTTCGGGAAGAGAGAAGGCTATTATTTAGTTCCTTGCGACCAGGTTATATATAGACATGGACCAGAGGCATCTGAAAATTTAGAACAGCAGTACGTACCTAACAAAAGTTTCAGCCCAATCTTGGGCTGTGTGTGTTGTCACATGAGCATAATTATGTCTAAATCGCTTCTCTCTTTCATCAGGAGACATGTTTAACGCGTAGGCAATTGAGTTAGCAACCTCCGTGATATTCCACGGATTTACCAAGAGCGCACCCGCTCCAAGAGATTGTGCTGCACCTGCAAACTGAAAAGCAAGTGCGCACTGAGTACAGCATCGCACTCAAATGATGGCAGAAAATAAAAAAGGGATATAAAATGACATGTAAACAAATGCAGACAGGCTAAAACCAAAGGTTGCTAACAAATCTTCTGGAACCAATTAACGACACTTACGCAAAATAGCTTCATGGAAGTAAAGAAATATAATAAATAATAAAGAAACTAATTAGGTACATCTTTCATAAGAAAATGTGCAACATACTTCACAATCCATATTCCATTATTCCTAAAAAGATTATGATGGAGACATTTTTAAGCACCAAGGTATAAACACCAAAATCTTTTTTTCCCTAGTGAGCTCTCACATTACACTCTAATATCTATTTCTTGTAATGCAAGCACATGTGCACAACTGACCGAATAAACAATTTCGTCAGGCCTGCTCCTCTTTTCCTTATTTCTTTTAGTTATTTAAAACCTGTGTCTAGCCAATTGGCAGTAAGTCCCAACACCTCCAATAAAAAGACGAATATTACCTTTGGTTAGGATATAATTTATAGATATTCGATTACTTGTTTTAGTTTCCGAAAACCGCATAAAATTTTATTTTTTCCCCCCAACCTCCGCTAATGTATAACTTAAGAAATTTATCACACCAATATTAAGGATATTCTTCAGAGTTTTTTTTTTTTTGTTTTTTTTTTTTGGGGGGGGGCGCCCTGAGGGGGCTGTCCCGCTGGATTCCTTCTATTAAAACACACTTCACAAAATCATACAAAATAATTTGAAAGTAGGTTATAAAAATTAATTAGCTCATTACTGATACAAATCTATTGAACTGTTTAACATAAATTTGAGATATGTAAACATTCAATGCACTTATCTACCATAATGATAAATATGCTTTTACACGTGAATTGCATGGCAAAAAGACATCATGCATAAAATTTTGAATAAAAAAATTTCACCGAATATTGCAAAACCTAGTCCACCAAAACGATGAAAATATGATCTGATTGTCTATGAATGATTCTTAGTGCAATAAATTACACATCTAGTTGATAGATTACACATCTAGTTTAAGTTTTGGAAAAAAAAGAAATTATCAGTTAGAAGAAAGCATTTAAAATCCTACATCACATTTCTTTGATGACTGGTAAATAAAACATAAATGGCTGAATATGTTAATACTTGCAGTTTCTCGGCAGCAAATATAGACACAGTTTTGTACTTGTTTTGTAATAACAGTCACAGATATCCTTCAAAGTTGACAGCAGGGACCTATTGGAAAATATAATTATTATATAATTATGCAGAAGTTAAGAAGAAACAAACTATCAAATTTGTAGATAATTACTTCACTTAGAATGAGGACCCCTTTTTTTGAACCTTGGCATGCCACGAACTCATAGCTTACGAGGTTCATCCCATCTCTCAATGACGTCACAAGTGCCACATCTAAAAAATATGCAAGAAAAGTCATCAGTAAGCAAGATATAAGAGCGACATTCATCCAATGAAAATCTAATAGACATAACTAGCTATATTATATCAAGGGAACATGTTCAAAACATTCGAAGCTAAAGAATGTAAATCATCAACTAGAAAATAGGTAAAATGTGCTAACAGAATTAAACTGAATTAATAATTTGAGTTCAAACCTCATCTGACTAAGTACAGATCAGGTTAAATACGTATGAGCTCAATTTCCTTCCATTTGCATGCACTTGGCAGATCAGGTCATGAATGATTCAACATGCAGAAGGATCAGATCTAGATGGCATTGACAGACACAAATCACTATTACAATGAACATTTTGGAACTACATGATATATTCATCATATAAATATCTATTATATAAAGTGATAAGAAATTCCCCTAAAGTGCAAGGTGGAGTTGGGATCAAAAACCTCCAACATTTGGTATTATCCTTAAGCCAGACTAGTACCACACCACCATAGACAGTGTAAGAACTCTGGTATAACTCCATCTATAACCATACATGTCTACCCATTTTGGCAGTTCTTAAAAGAAAACTTTGATTGCTCTTCCAAAATCAAAAGTCTGGGTTGGTACAGTAATGTTGCTCAATCTCTTAAGACTGTTGGAAGGGCAGTCATGCCTTGCAAATTCATTCCCACTCTTTTTCACATTAAATATGATCGTAATGCTAGGATTACCATTAGTACAGGTGCAAAGACTTTGACTACCAAATTCTGCCAACAGATCACCATCCTCCTCTAGCCAAGCTACATTGGTTCTTTGCTGGTAATCATGCTTGATTTTCACTAGACATTTGGTCAGTCATGATGGTTTGCAAAAACATTCCTGATCCTCTTTCAAAATTCTTGGTGTCATAATGCTAGGTTCAACTTATAAATAACCATTGTTGCTAGTGTAAGGACATGGACTCTAAAATTTTGCAGATGAATAGGCAGCAAACCTAATGGCTAAACTGCATAGACTACTTGCAGTACTAGTGCACACATTCGGAGTTCACATTGTGATTGAAAATGCTGGAAGCTTAAAGATGATAACTTCAATCTCAAATCATTATGAACAGCATTGAGGGGCAATTTTGGCTGAAGGTAACTCTACAAGCTAGTTTGACAACATCCATGGACTCCCAAAATTTGCCAATAGATTCACATCCAACCTTATGGATAAAGTGCAACGACTATTTCAGTTCTAAACGCACATAATTCACATAGTGATCCGAGATGTAGGAAGCTAAAAGATGGTCACTTCTGGTTCAAGTCACTGTACATGGCACTAAGGAGTAAGGTCAAGTCTGGCTGAAACCAGTTTTAACAGCTAATGTCAGAACTGGTACCAGCCAAACATCTGACAGCTAAAGTGTTTTTAAAAAAAAGGAAGATAGCATGTGAAGGTCAACTTACACATAAACATCATTGCTGATGTGAAGACATGGATTCCCAAATTTTGTCAATGAATTGGCATCCAACAGGATGGCTAAAATAAAAGGACTACTTCAATTTTAAACACACACTGTAAGAGTTCATTTTGTGATTGGAGATGTTGGAAACAACAAGATGATGGAACTTCTAGTTCAAATAATTGTATATGGTATTAAGGAAAAACTTCGTCTGAAACCAGCTCTACCAGCTAACTTACTCCTCCTTGCCCACTGAAATCATGTCTCAGACAGTTGTCGGAAAAAAAGCACTTGCAGTTGCAAAGGTAGAGGATGAAAAATGAAGTAGCCAAATAGGGTAGACTCATAAACCTATAGTAATATCAACATATTGTATTGTTTTAGCCTTAGAATACCGAACAAATAAAAAGGTGAAAGTGGAAAGCCCATGGAAGTCAAAAGAAAAAAGATGTTTGGATAGTTTACACGTTCTGATTGTTCACAATATCTGCTCATCATCTGGGGATATCAACTAAATACAGTTAACTAAAATAAAAACAATATTATAGATATACACTCCAACCTAAGGATATCAATTGTTAGTGTGATATACTCCAATTGTTAGCGTGCAATTTTCCCACAGATCCAAGGCTACAAAACTAGAAGTTCCTGCATCTTATTAACCGAACAAAGTTGAAGTATACTAAAATATACTAAAGATTCAGCATTGGGGATAAATTATTCACAAGCATAGTCTGTATTCTAGAGAGGAGAGGGCTACATCTTTCTATTCGAATATTTTTGAATCTTCCATTATTTTTAACCTGGCTCCTCAATCAATTATGATCATGAATAAAGGAATATAAAAAGATCAGGTACGATGCCAGTTACTAAAATAGGGAACTGAAAACCAAAAGAGAAATTTTGATACCAGTCACTGCATACAGAGCACATAATGCATGGAAATCAAGGGAGCGATCCTGTAAAAAAGAGACAGTGGTAATAAGGATGTGCATATTTCTTAGAAATTATACTAAAAGTTTAATTCCTTAATCAAAAAAGAAGTAATAGTTAGAACAGACCAGACATTTTGTAGATCAACTAAAGTGTGCATAAAGAAAAGGTTAAGGACACAGATAACTTAAAAAAGCAGATAATATTTAGGTTCATGGTTTACTTATATTTAATAAGTCATTTTATATACAGATATATTCGGAAGTACCAATAATATTGATCGAACAGGAAATTATAAATTCTATAGAAAACTCCTCAATTTATACAACAAAAAGCAGCCATAACAAATTGTAACTACAAAGACAAAACATATAATGTATAAGTAATAAAACATACATACAAATACAAATATATAATATAATGAAGGTGTTTGTGAGAGAGAAAACTGGAATTGAACAGAAATTTCCTGCACCACAGCTAAAAAACTCATACAAATTATATACATCATTCATATGACTTCAAGGTGTTGTAAATGGAAGTCACAGGGTTCACACATGTTAGGCTTCATGTCTGATCTCAATTGAATGGAAAAAGTTGTAAAGATGGTAATGATGACTTTTAGTGATGAGATAACTGATTGGCACACAACAAAACAAGCTGCCATTATATCTTAAACTTTAGTTTTAAGTTAAAAACAGCTATAGACATATTCTCGATAGTCAATAGTAAAAATTTTACGGCTTGCATAAATTTATTAAGTCATTTTAAAGAAATATTGTGAAGGAGAGCTTTTTTTCTTTCATTAGTGAGAAAATTGAGTGGACTATTAATTCCATCATACTAAATCCTTACAAAGTATCATACGTAGATATTTTATTCATAGTATAAATCATTTCAAGCAATAAGTTTTTACCTGCACTCATCCTTTTTTACATTGTGCTTGAGCCATCATCTAGTTTCCATGGGGTGGTATTCATCCTAAAAAAGTGAAGGAGGTGCCCATATGTATTATAGCACTTTAAAACTTTTCCTAGATCCATTCTGGGTATTCTCTTCTATCAACTTGACAAGCCTTTCCTAAAGTTTCACATTCTTTCATCATGTGATTTTCACCTGTCAAACTGAATGTCATTGCTGTTGTTGCCTATCCAACTTTGCTCTGCATTTTTTCACAGCAAACAATCACTAGACCTAAACAGCAATAGACCACAACTGTTACCATAGTTCAGCAAATAAAAAATTTATTTATGTTCAATTATCAAAACAAAAAAAAACTGATATGTAGTTATATCATGCATGATCAAATGCCATTCAGAAAATAAAACATGAGACTGTAACCACTTGTGACAAAGTTAATTAATTTCAATGCAAAAGCATGTGCGAAGTATTTCATTAAAAAAACAGGAGTGAAGCTTGGTTGCTATTGGACAAAATGGGTAAAGAGCTGAGCTTAGCACGTAACATGAAATTTCATGATTTAAAAAGAAAAATACAAGACAGAAATGGAGGCGAACCAGATGGTGTATAGGAACAGCAGTCAGTGTCCCGAACCGGCCATTTATACGTCCAACAATTTCGTGAACTTGGCTGGTAAGTTTCTGATCTGGTTAAGAAGCAAAGTGAATCTCAGCATTTAAAAAGAGATGAAACCTTTGCAAATTAAAATAAGGATAAATTACGCCAAATCCCCAAGAACTTTCGGCGTCTTACAGTAAACCCCAAATAACTTTCAAATCACACTACACCCCCAATAACTTTAGCAGAAAAGCTCCAATATCTTTTTGCTAAATTACACTAAACCCCCAATAACTTTCAAAATACCTTTTATGCTGTTTTCTGGTTCTAATTTATGGGGGTTATCTACAAAAGGCGGAAACTTATTGGGGTTCTCTGTAATTCCAAAAAATTATTGGGGTTTAGTGCGCTTTTGAAAGTTATTGGGGGTTTACTGCAAAATGTTGAAAGTTTTAGGGGGTTTGTGTAATTTACCCTTAAAATAAAGATGACTTGGCCACAGATATGAACTCTGTATAAAGAATGACAAGTTTGAGAGATATAACTAACTTTTACCCAGGCGATGTATGGGACTTAGTATCACAATGTTACTTCAAATGAATCATTAATATCAAGGAATTTGCAAGGTTTCAGATACTTTTAGATGTAGAAAGCATTGAAAAAAAGGTATAGGACAATAAAAATAGGGAAGATGAAAAGTCACATGTCTAATTAAGTGCAAAGTGTTGCAATTTTGCAACCAGCACCACAGTTGTTTACTAGTATAGTGTAATTCCATTGAAGTAATGAATTACAATTAGCATTATTCCAAATATAGATGAAATCTAGAAGAAAGAAAAAAAAAAAGATAAGCTTTATGGATAAACTTGCCCAGTCAACTAGTGCTTCTATTCTAAAACATCTTTCAAAGTTAAAGTTGGAAAAAAAAAAAGAAACGTTCAAACTTTACACCAAGATATTGTCAGCTCGAAGTGCAGCACCAGGGGACAGTTAAAATCTGGGATACCGAAGTTGCTTTCAGTTAGTGCAAAGATATTATAAGCACCCTCCTAATCACCATGCAAAGAAGAAGCAAACCGTAGTAAATGCCATAATGAAGAAATGCTTGAAAATAGGCAAGAGAAACTACACTCTGAACGATTTCAAAAGGATAAAAGCAACATGAAAGTAGACCATGATTACATTTATAAACATCAATTTTGACATTATACTACGTTCTTTTGCAACATATTTCAAATATTATTGGACAAAAATATTCCATCATGTGACTAAATTTCATAAATATATGTTCCAATTTCCATACACTTCATAACAAAAAATAAATAAATAAATGCTCCAAGTAAGCATCAAATAAATGATAATGAAAAATGATGTGACCTGAAAAATATTAAAGTGTGAAGTAAATGAAAGGATGATACATACATTCTGGAACATCAGTTCTAGTAGGAACAGCAATCTGAAGCAAGACTACTTTATCCCGCCAAAATGAATTTTCCTCAAGGAACTTCTCAAAGGCCAGAATTTTTTGTGGAATCCCTTTAATCATGTCAAGTCGATCAACCCCCAACATGACCTAAACATACCAGGAAGAAAGATGACTACAAAGGAGTGACAACTTAGATTCAGAATAATTAGAATATAAGAGCCAAAATCCTGGGAAATCAAGTACTTCAAGTTCACAACACAAATTAAGTTCTACTTTACGCATTATGATCTGAAAAATATTAAAAGTTACTAGAATAAGGAATCAGATTATCAAATATTAGGGACACTTTAGAAGCCATGAGATGGTATTCTAGATTGTTCTCCAATAGGATACTGAAATTTTTGGTGTAAGCACTGCGGTCAATACAAATGAAGATCCAAAACCATCATCCTGGTACAAATCTTAGACTTGCCAAGTTTTAGTGATTATGGAGATTTGAAACTATATATTTAATCAATTAGTCATTTGATGCCACCTGTTTATGCCCTTTTGATTTGTAGAAAATTATAATTTGTTTCAAAAGTACAAATTTAAGAAAATAGAAATGTTTCCATAAATATCTTCAGTAATCTTTCGTTTATGACATATACTTCTTTTCCTATCATAGACATAAACTCTAATTTAGAATGACATACAGGTTGTAAATAGTGACAGAGGCCAAAGAGAAAAAATGAGAATGGAGTTGATCAATAGAAAAATACTACTGTAAAAATAATCGTGTTTCGTACCTTTCGGCCAGAAAATCTCTGTTTCAACTCATTGATATGTTCTTTCACAGCTGGAAGCTCCAAAGCACGTTTAAATCTTTCAGAATCTATTCCAATGGGAAACTGAAGTTCCCAGTTTATGAATTCAATTGCATGCAAGAGATCAACCATTGATTAGTGATACAATATGCACATTCATTTTCGTGCTTCATCTATTACGTAAGATGGACTCTATAACACAAGAATAATTTATTTTACAGAATACTAGGTGTATCACTCATGAAATGCTAAAAGTACAAAAACTTGAAACATACCGCAGCCACTCGAGTCAGCTTCCCTTGGTCTTCCACTCCTTCTGGTGTGCCCTCGAGTCCAAGAATACGAGTGCAGGCACTTACAAAATGTCTTGCATAATCATATGTATGAAATCTGGATAAAAAGTAAAGAAATTTGAATCCAATGAAGAAGAAGAAGATGATGATGATAATAATAATCATCATCATCATTTTCATCTTGCCCCGGTTTCTCCAAAAAAAATAATTATTTTGTTGAACAGGATGAAACCAAATAGATATCAGGATGCAACCATAAGCAGTTTTCTCGATTAAGGTAAGATACATTCGATTAAAAAGCACAATGAAACTCAGAGTTAAATCCTCAAAGTGACAGAAAATAGATAAAGTTTTAATTTAATGGAGCGGATAGTAAAATATTAAGTTTATCCTGTAACAAGAAATCAATGTTTGTAAAACAGTGAAATACGGTTGACAGAATGGCAAAAAACTGCCAATATCAAATAGAATGTAAACCAAATAACAACCAAAATCTAAGTAATATCCTTACGGTGTAGCCAAATTTGATAATACCACCCTCTTGCTCAAACATTTCCAAAAAGTGACCTTAAAGGAGGAAAAAAGAGTAGCCAAAATATAATTTAAAAATAGAGAATTATTATCATAACTATTGAATCATCATAATGTCGTTCATTAAATTCACAGTCAGTTCTAACATTGGAGAAAGGGAGCACATCATATCTGATCGAAGGGTTACATATATTATCATCACTCGTAGCCCTGTCCAACCGGCATGGCCCGGCCTGGCCCGGAAAACTGGGTCCAGTGTGGGCAAAACTCGTGACCCGGACCCGGGCCCGGTTGTTTTCTTTTTTTGGTAAAAAATTGCTAGAAAATAGATTAATCTTATTATATTTATATAAGTATGTATTAGTATATACTTACAAATTATTATATAGCTATATATTATATATACATATATTATATGTAAATATATTGTATATACTTATAAGTATATGATATACTTTTATATATACTAGATGCAATATACTTATATATAATTATACTTATGCACTTATATATACTTATATAACTGTAATTCTATGATATACACATATAAGTATACTTATAACTACATTATATATATTTTTATTCTTATATCTTAGTATCTATACCATGCTAAGAATATATATATATAGCTATATATTATATATACATATATTATATGTAAATATATTGTATATACTTATAAGTTATAACATGAGACAGAGAGAGAGAGAGAAACACATAAATATATATTACTTATTTATAAATATGTATTATATAGTTATATATGTATTTGTTACATACTTACATTATGCTTATTTGAGTACGGTTATACAATTTACTTATATGATATACTTTTATATATACTAGATGCAATATACTTATATATAATTATACTAACGCACTTATATATATTTATATAACTGTAATTATAATATATACATATGATATAAGTATACTTATAAATACATTGTATATATTTATATTTTTATATCTTAGTATCTATACCATGCTAAGAGTACACACACACACACACACACACACACACACACACACTTGAGTACTTATATACATACAAAATGTATACACTTAGGATTATGATTCTATGAACCTATGGCCATTTTCCTCAAAACAATCTCACACACACATATATATAGTTTGGTCGGCCCGGGTTTTTCGGGCCTGTCCCGGGCCCGGGCAGGGTCTGGGCCCTGCCGAGGCCGGGGCCGGGCCTTGGGCCCGAATGGACACCCCTAATCACTAGTCAGTATGGCAACAAGGTCATTCATAAACAATGCAGTAATGCAACTATAACTTTTGTGCCATACATTGACAAATACTACCCATATCATAGTCCAGGAAATATAATATACGGAAAACTACTTCAAAAATGTTTGTTTGTATTCATATCTGTGAATAGAAAGGAATACTTTAGATGCCCACTGAATTCCATAAGCATATGCCTTACTTTGTGTATATCATGTGGCAGAAAAGTTGAAGATAGTGGAATGTAGAGTGTCATGGAATACCAAGCCATGTGCTAAGCAAACACCGGAAAACACACACAAAAGTATTCAGCCAAAAAAAAAGTTGCTCACCCAACTAAATCAGCCGCAAGAACAGATCTCAACAAATCCGAACGAGATGGAAGAGTCCTATGAATCTCAGAAGAAGGGAATGGTGTATGAAGAAACCATCCAACTTTCATCTTGCTGTTATATTCCTTCAAACATTTGGGAAGAAACATTAGATGATAATCATGGCACCAAACAACATCCCCCTCTTCATAGTGCTCATTGACAACATCAGCAAACATCTGGTTTGCCCTCTTGTATGCATCAAACTGAGACTGGAAGCTACGGGTTGTGGCTAATCGATCTTCTTGAGGGAGTCCGAGGTAATGGAAGAGAGGCCATAGGATGTTGTTACAGTATCCATTGTAATATTGGTGCACTATTTCCTCATCAAGGAAAACTGGAATGCATCTCTGTTTGCAAATATAACAACATTTTATATTAGATTACAAAAGCATGAACGTTAAGAGCTCATCAACTTTATACCTTTTCAGCTAGAGCTTTTGTAAGAGCTCTCTGCCCAATTTCATCGGGCACATTTACACCGGCCCATCCGATCCATTTAGCGTCTACCTCCTTTACCCCTGAAATAATGCAATCAAATTCTCATTATGTCATCAGTCATCTCGCTAACGAGTGATTAAAATTCTCCATTATAGAACATTAGACCAAGAAGCAATCATGCAATACAATTTAGCTTCAACCTCCTCACCCCTAAAATAACGCAAGAAAATTCTAGTCATTCTACCATATTGCTACCAAATTGGTCAAAATTCTCCATCATATATAAAACATTATAGCAACAAGCAACCATGCAATAAAACTTAGCATCCACCTCCTCCACCCACGAACTAATGCAACAAAACTCCCATCATTGCACCATTTTTAACTCCAAAAACTTGATTAAATTCCCTATTCTAAACTAACATGACGACGAAGCAACCATGCAGTGGAGATAAGACTAAAGCTCAAGCTCTCACCTCCTGAGCTCCCTCTCTCGCAGGAGCCTCTCAACCCTAGTTAGGTTTCTTGAATTGTACTTGCTCGCCGGCATTTGATCGGCTTGCACCGCTGCGGGCTTCATCGATCGCTCGATCCCTAGCCGCCCTGCATTGAAACAGCCCCCAACCTCCCATCAATTCGCAAACACAACCAGATTCAAAACACTAAGATTTTTTGACAACAGAGACCAAAAAGATCAAAGCTCGCAACTTTGCTCAACAACAAAGAAGATGAACAAGAAATCGCCACATCTCGAGAGAGAGAGAGAGAGCCCAGCGAGAGAGAGGAGACGAATATATATATATATAGAGAGAGAGAGAGTGGTGGTCCCAGACGCCCCAATTCGTTTCACTATTTCATTCTTCTACCTTTTTCTTCCCTTCCTTCTTTTATGCCCTAATTTTTTTTCGTAATAATCAAAAAAAAAATCGAAGATTTGGGGTCACATTCGAGCCGTCAATGCGTCATCCGACCAATGCGCGCATTGAGATCACACAAATCAAGAGATTTTCCCTAAATCGAACTAATAAAATAATAGCATAAGAAAATTTTACGTACACTGGAACCGACATTGGAGAGAATCTCGGTAAAAAAAAAAGTGAAACAGGAGGAAGACGATGGAGGGATCTTATACGTTTTCTACCGGGGGAGTGGTGGGGACGGGCCCAGGTTGCGATTCGATGTTTTACCAGGGGTGGAAGTGAAAAATCAAATGGGATGAGGTACTCACTGGTAATTATCTCTACAGCTTTTGTGGCGAAAGTGAGAGAAAATTGCAGCTGGACCCAAAATCTCTCTCTTCCGTCTTTGTAGACAGAGAAAGTGTGCATGCAGCTGTGAGTGAGTGACACACGCGCGTATTTATAAGCGACCAGTGGACTCACTCGCCACTCACCATGCTGTTTGATATTCGTACGCTGAATTGTTTGGCTGGGAAAGTGAGATTTTAAATTTTAGCTTCACTAGATTGTTCTATCTTTAGCATAAATTCGAGAGAGAGAGAGGGATGGTGGTAGGCTGAAAGAAAGACAGTGATAAAAGCAGAGCGTTGCTACAGGAATCCAAAATATGTATGAGATCATTGAAGAGAACATGTGAGAGTCCCCCTCTTATTGCATAATGAGTTGGCATGACCATTTCATTATGCAATAGGGAGGGGACACCTCACCTGCATGTCCCCTCCCTTGGTCCCATATTTTGCGTCATTAAGATATTTTTTATAAAAATAATTTATCTGTTTTAATGGATTATAGGAAAGCTGAGAAGGCTGATCAATTGATATTAGACTCGACTTTTGATACTTTTTTGTACTTTACGAAAAATATTTCTGTAAATCTTTTTTGAACCAAACACAGTTTACGAAAATCTACAAAAAAAATTTAATTACAGAATTGTCATTATCAGACATTTTGAGAAAACCTTTATATAAAATTGTGCAACCAAACACCCCCTAACAGGAAAGTTGAAAACACTGAGTTAATATTAGATAATTGTTTTCTAAAATATAATGGTGAGTATGATGGTAATGACTATTGAAATTGTTATCGGTTCTCATTCCTTTAGTCTAATTACTGCCAATCGTTTTATTGCAAAATAATAAATTAAAATGCTTTCAAATTTAAATTGTTCATAATTTCCTTTTTATTCAACAAGAAGTTGGATGAAACTTCAAAATATAGTTTTGTTTCTCTATTCTGCCTTTAAAATCTGGCAGGAGAAGAGAATACTTCTTCTACACATGCTTATTAATCGGAACTCGGCCTGATCCAATTATTTTTCTAAAACAAATTCTATTAAAATAAATAAAAAATTTTGATTGAACATCGTAATTTTTCCCCAATACAAGACTCACTTCGTGGAAAGAAACAAATATTAAATGAATGAATGCTAATTATATCTAAACATTCACTACGCAAGCAAGCAGAATATTTTGAGCTACTCAATAGAAAGATCGAAGAATAGTTTAGAAATTTTCATCAACTATCTGCGGTCTAAAACGTCCCTGCTGATATTACACTTGGGTCCTCATAAGATGCGTATAATAAAAAGGTAGGGTGTGAGTTTAAAAAAAAAACGGGGTGATTATATCAAAAATTTCGTAAGTAGATGAGTTGATAAACAATTATTAGCTGTACTCCAGAAACGGAAGGGTAGGGGCCAACGTGGCAAGAACTTCACGATGCCACCACGGGGGAGGTTTGGTGAACTGTGCTGTACGCGGTACATGGAATCCAGCCATCGCGTGGGCCAACCAGGACGACGTGGTTTAGTTATGGGGTGGAGATTTCGTGAACCATGCACCATGAGGTTCACGAAATCTGAAATTGTACTGACAAATACAGCAGCTACGCTAGGCAGCTCTATTATAGGTGAATACTGCTTTCATATTAGTAGTCTTGTGCATAACTTTGTTGGTGATCAAAATAAAATACATAAAATGGCTTTCTATTGATGGAGAAATATATTTGGAGGAAGGAGAAGTTTAATGTGCCTAGCTTCCAATGATTTCGTGTATTGTTTGAGCTTGAAATAAAATATCATTTTACTAAAAGAAGTTTGTTTGTCCACATGTTTGTGACTGCCCATCCTCTCGGAACGCCCTGTGCCGCACGGTGCGGGGGCGTTCCGAACATTAGGATGGGCAGTCCTCAGGGGCATGATGGTAATCTTCACGTTCCCACTATGGTTAAGATCACACCGTAATATGTGGTGTTATGAGAGAATAGCTGCTCCATATTTATTGGTTGCACCGATATTCTATATTATTTGAGCTGCACTAATGTTCTTAATTAAGCTCGTAATGATAGCATCTTCCCAAACTCCATCACCACTTCTTATCAGAGATCATCTCCAAGGCAGATTACTTTATTCTTTTCTGGGCAGGTGCTTCTTCTTCCAAGAAGGCTATCAAGCTTAAGAACATCATTCGTTCCTCAGGGCTTGCGGATATCATTGAATCAAGCGAGGGTAGCAGCGGAAATCCTTAAGTCGCGGTTCTAGCTCTTTTCGATACTTTGGTTTTTACATCATGTTAGTACTTGCATATATTCTCTAGACATCTACTAGTGATTGGTATTCACCAGTGGATATCTACTTTTGTAATCCCCTCTCTTTCGCTCTTATATATTTACCTATGATAGGGCTCGTAGCCCTATTTTACATATATAAAAAAAAACTGCGCGCAAGTCAGCTTTAAAATCCGTGCTAGACACGTGTATGATTTTCTACTGAGCGTCGTCTAATAAGCTAAGATTTGGTGACAAAGTTAAAGAGGAACAAATGCTCGCATGAGCTAGCTAGGCATAAAATTAAAGACGTACGTGACAGACGTCAATGGACAATATTATTAATTGATCAAGGATCGAACTATAGTCATGGGGTGTTCGTGAGAGCACTTTGAGAGAGGGGGGACAAGCGAGGGATCACAATCCGGGAGCCTTTTATTCGCATAGTAGATCGAGGGGGGCAAATATATCTAGAGAGATCGATGTGGGTGGTGACTGATCACCCTTCTTTATGAAGACGCAACGTTGTCTCCCTTTGTGGTTTCTATTGAAGGATCGATCGATGGAGGGAAAAGAAAAAAAAAAAAAGAAGAGCAGGATGGTGAGGTGGTTCATGTGTCGCTCATGATCGACCAGAGAGTTCTTGGCTAGCTTTTACAACGTTAGGCTGGTGAGGTGCGTCTATGTTGGGCCTTCCACTTGCCGCAAAGGTGGCAATAATGCAAAGGAGGGTGTGACGAAAAAGTGGACCAAGGTAAATTTAGTTTCACAAAAGTGGCATATATTGATTATAGCATGTTTTTCACAAATTTTTTTTTTTTTTAAAGAATAGGGACAATATTCTCCCCTCGAAATTTATTAACCAGAGAAAATAGACGGAGTTGAGCATCAAGCACAAGAAATACTGTATGAGGAGTTATGAAGAAGGATATTACAAAAATTGAACAGACTAATTAATATAGGTCTGAGTCAAGGTGTCAGTACTGATTAGCCGCTACAGAAGAAGATTACCGTAAACTAATTTTATTAGACTAATTAAGTACGCCTGACCGACCTTTTCCACTAAAACTATCATGACCCGTAGAAGTCGATACGCCCGGTATCTTAATTAGTATGTGATGTATTTACTTTTTATATATTTTCTCTCTCACTCTCTTTCTAGATATTTTAAATTTTTTAAACGAAGTTCCTAATATCTTTCTCTGCTAAAAAATTATTGAGGATTGTTTTGGGCGAAACCTCTAATAATTTACAATTTTTTTGGGAAATGGTTTTTTACCCTAAAAGGAAACTCAGGTTGCGAGTTAGGCGTTTAAACAATTAGGTAGATAGACCTACAACAAGCATTATTGGGAAGTACTCATTCCTAGTCAAGTCTCGCAGCACATATAGAAGAAGTACAAAATGGTCAACATGTTTGTTCAATATTGTGTATACTTAAATGATTTGTTTATTAATAATGATTACGACACAAATTTAAATTAAGCCACACTTGGAGTTCTAATTTCGCACTACGTGGTGGATTTGTGTCAAAGAAAGAAAAAAGGAGTCTTAGCTCGAATAGTACCAAACAACCCCCATGTGAAAAATCACTAGTTTGAAATTTGATTTCTAATTATACCAAGGTCTAGACTCTCATATCTAAGAACTAGATTCCAATAGATACAAAGAGGAACGAAAATGGAAGAAGATATATCCAACAAAAGTAGTAAAAGCATGTTTGGACTAGGAAAATG